GGTGACCTTCTGGAGACCACCTAATTTGGATTAATAGGTCTAATATCCTGTCATCGATAGGATCATCCTTCACGATGAAAAAAATTGTTAAAATTATTCCCCGAAATTATAATTTTATTCTTTGTTGTAAATGTTTAATGCTGTTGAAGATGATAGATATGCAGAGGCTTTTGCTACGCTAGTGGTGAACATGTTAAAAGATAAAGCATTTCAACTAGCGTTTGTTGAGGCACATATGCAGGTATTCCGTGCCATCACAATATTATTTTTCTTTTTGCAGGGGACAACATATCACTTTGAATAAATATATCATTCTTATATTTTGTAGGAGCCTTCCCTGATCGCTTTCGTTGATGCTTACTCACTATATGTAACTGACCAAGTTCGAGTGGAATATCTAAGGAGAGACAAAGCATTGCCGATCATTTTACAGAGGACACTAGACATATATTATATGAGGTGATGATTGATACCTTGCGCTGTATAAGTGATATATTGATCGATTTCTATAATGCAGTACTATTGTTGGTTTTTTCACATGGTATTACTTACATGCTTGAAATTTTTATCTTTCCATGAGGTGAAGAGCAAACGAGAAAAGAAAAAAGAGGTTTGTTGCTGTTTTGAATAAACAATATCACCTTCTCTCTCTGCCTCGAGGGCTGTATCACAATATGCTCTGCAGCGTCGCCCTTAGCAGTCCAGTCTTTTGACAAGTCTGCTTTCCTATAATAGCAAGAAAAATTTGTTGAAAATTTTATTTTTTATATAATTTTTTTCCCATTGTTTTGGTCAGTACCATAAATCTGCAGATCAAATATGCAGGAGTTTGTTAGTATCTGGTCTTGCACTTATGTCTCATTTGTTTTCTTTTATTTGCTCCTCCTTCCAACTACAAAATGCTTTAGGTTTTTATGAGGCAAAGGCCTACTATTGCTGGTTACTTTTATTTATTCTGTTTTGGGACTCCAATGTTATAGCTTTCTGAATTTGTGATTTGTCATTGTAT